ATGTCCATCAACATAAATTTACATGCAGTCAAACTTTTAAATTATACTCCAAAACATAACCAAATCTAATCGCACTTCAGTTGAGTTAAAATTTGTAACGTCCACGAATCAAAATGTGTATTTTTGGTTCGGGTGTCGTTTGACACAAGTTGCAATTAAACCGACGGGTTCTGTTTTAAAGCAAAATGGGTGCGGTTTCGGTTAAGGAAAACCGAGAAACTTGCCAATATAAAGAGGGGAGCTGTATCTGTTGTTGTTCTAGAGAGAAAACACGGAGATGGAGATGATTAGAGGAGGAGAGAAGGATCCTTGTTGATCCTTGTGAGTAAGAAAGTTTTGAAGGCAAGTTTCGTTATCATAAGTTTATAATATTTTTATTGCTCTCAAATAAAATATATTTATTGTTGTAATTTGTATTTACAATATTAAAATAGTCAAATATTTTGAATGTAAGACTTTTAGTCATTTATTTATTTTTTCGTTTTTAATTTAATAAAATAATTTAGTAGTTATAACTTTATAAGTAACAATAAATATACATAAACATGAATTAAATGAAACATTAAAATAAAATGTATTATAAAAACATTATTTTGTTTATGTGGACACCATAGATAGAGAGAAAATTTTGCATTTATATATATAGATAGCTATATGAGTCTCGTCTAAGTATGAATTATGTTTGCGTTTGAGTTAGACTCATGCGTATTTTTTTCAAATAAACTCAAAGTTTTAAATATCTTTTAAAAAATTCAGCAGCAAATTGTAAATGGCTACCGCAAAATAAAAACTTTTGTTTGTGTTTGAAATATATATACTATTTTCTAAACTCATCACTCCAGTTATAAATATGATATTGTCAAACCGACACATATTTAGTTTTGGCTTCATTTCTAAATTTTTTCATATGAATTAGAGTCGGTCGTGTTTCTTATATATCGATCACTAATACGTTAACCTATTAGGAATAACACGAGGGGGTAAGCCAGACTTATGTGCTCCATACCGTTCCACAATGGTACCGCCTGGGACTTGTAGTATGAATAAAGGTGCCAGAATATGTGATACAACTGGATATTGTGTTCACCATACCGATGCCCAAGTATGCAATAACACTTGCCGAGATGATGAAAAAAAAGGCCACGGAAGATGTGAAACATTAGGGCGACAAAAAATTTGCATATGTAACAAGTGTAAGTTATAAAAATTCGGTCTCTCATGTTCTGCATATGTGCAATAATATATAATATTTTTTATTATCTTCAAAGAAAGTCAAATAGACTTTGTAGAAATAAGTATCATCTAATAATTACATTTGATATATGTGTAAAATAATATACTATGTATCACCTTTTCAATTTTACAACATCCTCATAAATGTAACATCGTATTTTTATGTAAATCAAATATTTAATTGACATTTTAATTAAAGAGATAGAAACATAAAATTTTGAATTTTTTATTAAAATTATCAAATACTAGATATGTATCGGTGCAATACCGTAAAGATTTTAATATGTATCTTTTTATAATATAAACTAAACAGTGGTCAAGAAAAAAAGCAAACTAGACAAATCGTCAACGAAAAATGAAACAAGATTATACCAAAACGATTATAATCTACTTACTTTTAATAAATTACAGAATATGTCATTAGAGTAAAAAATAATTTCTCTTTTCCTTACCTCCGCTTCTTTTGTCGACATGTTCACATAATTAGAAACTAAAAAGGAATGTGTAAAGTAATCATAATAAAAGCATAAAGTAATCTTAGACAAAACGCATATAATCTTATCTTATCTTTAAATAAACAGTTAATACAAACTGAAGCACATTAATGCAAATTTCTTAGCTCTCATATAATTGATTTAAGGTCCACATGCAATGTGACAAAGGGAATTAGTAAACACCACAAGTCTTTGCCGTGAGAATTGCATATCTACCGGTAGCAGATCTAGAAATTTTTTTATCGGGTCAAAAATGTAAACAAATTTATATTAAAACTGCTGATTTATTATTTTTAAAAAATAGTATAATATCACTGGAAATTTTTTATTATATAGTGTGTAGTAGAGCTTAGTAGATTTTTAAAAAAGAACTATATTTAATATAATATGGTATCCTTTTTTTCATCTAAAAGGCCTATGATATTAAAAAAGGGATAAAAGTTTGGGTTACAACAATGGGCCTAAGCACATCGACCAAAAATAGAGCCAAAAGACCACATTCAACCCAAAACCCTAAGGCAAAAAACCAGACAGATCATGGTTTTTCTCATCATCACCTGACAA